TGTTACTACATCTTTGTCTCTTGTTCCTTTCTTTGGTCCCCTTTGGGCAGAAACCCACCCATTTTCCAAAGCATCTCGAATCTATCCGGACCGTCGTTTTGGCGGCGAAGATACCAACGGCAAACGCAATATAATCATGCACGGCTCCTTTTATTTCCGATGTTTTGGCGGGCAAAAAGCCATGCACATTCTCGAAGACAGAGAGCAGAAGTTTACTTTGTTTTTAGTGGGAGTAGAAGCCAAACAAGTGCGTTTGGTGACCATAAGATGGTCGAAGAGAGACTGGATCATGAAGAAGAGATATTCCACACAAAATTGTTTTCGACGCTCATTCAGAGGAGTGGGTGTGAAACTGCTGGACGAGGGATACGTGGCGAGGGGAGGGATCACTCGTTGCATTATCCGAGGATGATAGCCTTCGCAGGGATAATAGCTCGACACGTGTTGGGGGGGGGGGCGACACGGACCACGGTGGATTCTGCTGGTATATTCCCCGGCTTCGCTCCATATAAGATTGTACGGCAGTGAGAGTTTGCTTTAGCCTTTTCGACCTGTACCTCTCTATCCACTTCCTTCCTCCAAGCTAACCAAAACCATGTCTGCCTTCGTGGGAAAGTATGCAGGTACTCTCTCTCTCTCTCTCTCTCTCTCTAATCTTCCAAAGAAAGATGAGAGCTATCGAGAATAATAGAAGAGTCTACCAAGGGCCCGTTTGGCAAATTACCAAATAGTAAAAATTTCTGTTCTTTTGTTCCTAGAATCAGTTTGGGAATAGAAATCCGTTTGTTAAATTTTTTGTGCACGGGTACAATTTTACAAAAAATTGTTTTCAGAATCAGTTTTGGAATAAAATCAATAAGCAAAAAGAAGTAGTTTCTTGATTCTAGAATAATTTTTCTATTTTTGATTCTTCTTGGTTTTCTTCTTTTTTTTTGGTTTGTTCTCCTTCTTCTTCTTCTTCTGGCCTGCTGCTGGCCGTCCGTCGGCCACCGGCCACAAGCTAGGGCCGGCGAGGGTGGCTTGCGGTCGGGACGACGAGGCCGACCTTGCTGTCGCCACCCAGGTGTTTGCCTGGGGTGGCGACGGCGAGGGTCGCGACGCCCTCGCTAGCCCTGGCCTGTGGCCAATTGCCGGCGCCGGCAACCAGCCATGGCTAAAGAAGGGAAGAAAAAAAAAGAAAAAGAAAGAAAGAAATATTAAAAAATTCAAAATATTATTAATAAAAAGAAAATCTGTGTTGTTACCAAATGCATTTCTGGTTTTTTTCTATTCTAAGAGTAGAAATTTTGGGTAGTTACCAAACGCTTTCAAATGCTTAGAAATTGTTCCCGGGCACAAAATAAAAAAAAAATCATTTCTGAGCAAAATCAGCTCTCGAGCACGGAATCGTTGCTATACGCACACCAAAGGTGACAAAAGTGATCTTATCATCAAGAACTCATCACTCTAATTTCCATGCAATTTAACTTTGAGTTCCAGCTTCACTACTTGAATAGCTCTAATGAACCAATCTCAAAGTATCTGCATCTCGATGTATATTCTTCTTGACCGGAAAAAGGAAATGTTTTCTTTCCCCAGATGAGCTCATCAAGATGGCCAAGTACATCGCCACCCCCGGCAAGGGTATCCTGGCTGCCGACGAGGGCCCCGGCACCATGGGCAAGCGCCTGTCCAGCATCAACGTCGAGAACGTCGAGTCGAACCGCCAGGCTTTCCGCGAGCTCCTCTTCACCGCCCCCAACGCCCTGCCCAACCTCTCCGGCGTCATCCTCGTTGAGGAGACTCTCTACCAGAAGACGTCCGGGGGGAAGCCGTTCGTCGAGGTCCTCCAGGAGAACAATGTCGTCCCGGGCATCAAAGCGGACAAGGGCAAAGTCAAGTTGGCTGGGACGAACGGTGAGACCACCAGCCAGGGATTGGATACGCTCGGCGCTCGGTGCCAGCAGTACTATAAGGCCGGTGCGAGGTTCGCCAAGTGGCGCGCGGTCTTCAAGATTGGGCCTAATGAGCCTTCGGAACTGTCCATCCAGCAGAATGCGCGGGGTCTGGCCCGTTACGCCATAATTTGCCAGGAGAATGGGCTCGTGCCAATCGTGGAGCCTGACATACTTATCGACGGGAGTCACGACATCAAGAAATGCGCTGCCGCTACTGAAACAGTGCTCGCAGCTGTTTACAAGGCGCTGAATGATCAGCATGTTCTTCTTGAAGGTACACTTCTGAAGCCCAACATGGTCACTCCCGGCTCAGACAGCCCCAAGGTAATCTAATTCTTGAATATGCGAAGTCCAAAACTAGCCACCTTAGTACATGACCAAATGTTACACCAGTTCAAATCCAAAGCATGATGAACAATTTGTATACCATTTGCTCAGGTACCGGCCAAGGTGATAGCTGAGTACACGGTGGCGGCGCTGCGCCGGACCGTGCCGCCGGCAGTCCCGGGGATCCTGTTCCTTTCCGGGGGGCAGAGCGAGGAAGATTCGACCCTGAACCTGAACGCGATGAACAAGCTGGACGTGCTGAAGCCGTGGACGCTCTCCTTCTCGTTCGGGCGGGCGCTCCAATTGACCACCCTCAAGACATGGGGAGGGAAGAAGGAGGACATTGGCAAGGCCCAGGAGGTGTTCCGGGCAAGGTGCTTGGCCAACTCGGAGGCCACTCTGGGCAAGTTCACAGGAGGGACTGCTGGTGGGTTGGCCTCTGAGAGCTAGTTTGTGAAGGGATACAAGTACTAGAAAGGAGAGAGAGTCACACTGGGCGGTTCACTGATTAATCAATCAAATTACTTGTGTATTGCAGTACCTTTTATCGTATGCTTTTGTTTATTTCCTCCCATTCTATGCTTACTTTCAGTACATATTCTGCCCCCAAAGCACTGTTCACCCTCTCCAGTCTCGACCAATTATATTATAACTTGTTGAAAGTGCTTTGAACTTTTAGAGGAGTTTAACTTTGGATATGCAGCGTATTTTCCGGATAATCCATCTGTGTGAATGTCCTTCTGTTGTTTATCTCTTGGACCTAAGTTATAGTGTTTATCCACTAGATTTTGGGTGTCGACTGATCGGGTCGGACTACGAGCTTCCAACCATTGCAACCGTTAAACATTCATTAGTTGGGCGAAAATTCGTAGGAATGCAAATAATACAGACTAGTATGTCGGGCATAAGCTAATTTGCTTTGTTTCGATGAGCAAATGAGATCGAAACTATTGACATTCCTAGAGCATCTGCCATGCTCATTTTTCCTTCGTCTGCTCGGGGTTGTTACGCTCCACCATGCATCGAAAAGATTATCACACTCAATCATGAATCACTCCTGTGGCTTTCACAAGGTTCACCCGTGATTACTCTAAAGCTATTAATTATCTTAATGTGGAGATCAGACCATTTAAAAGTAGTTTCTTCACATGAATATAAACCACTGCTGTACCCTCTTGATCAACAGTACTTACCATCAGCAAGAGACTGAATCACAAGATCTCGCTTGACCAATGAGTCAATGGACTCTCTTTTCAATGGGGTTCTTGAATCTGGGGATGCTTTGCTTGCTAATTTATATTGTTGATTTGACATTATCTAGCGTTTAGGATATGTATCTTGGTTTAATTGTTTTGGACAATGATATGATTATTCAATGTTATCTGTTTTTGAGGTTTCTTCTCCTTCGTTTGACTGTTTCTCTCTTTTTCCTTCTAGCTTTCTTTACTTGTCTTCCCTTTTCTTGCTATCTTGTTTTTCTACTTCTCTACCATCCTAAACCCATCTTGTCATGTGCTGCCGTTATTCGTCAATTGGGATTAGAGCAATACCATGTTTTAGATGACAGAGATAGACATATCTGATTATAATTTTAAGGGAAAATTTCCATTTAATACCCAAAATGAGGTCATTTTCTCAAAAAAGATCCAAAGTTTCAAATAATGACCTGAAATGCCCAATTAATCTCAAATAGGAATCCGAAGTACCCATTTAGTCTCAAATAAGGGCCTGTGTTTGCCGGTTGGTCACATACTCACCGGCCGGCGAGCACATTACTGTTCCGACGATCGAAATAAGGGCAATTTCGTCTTTTATTTATTTATTTATTTTTCTCTTTACCTTTTCCTTTTCCTTTTCCTCTTCTTCTTTTTTTTTTTTTGGTTTCCCTCCGCCGGCCATAGCGGCGTCGGCGGAGGTGGCTGGCCTTAGGCGGAGGCCGCCCTTGCCAGCGTCGGGCGAGGGCCACCCGATGCCGGCGGGGGTCGGGTGAGGGTCGCCCGATGCCGGCGAGGGCCGCCCTCGCCTGGGCTGGGAGCGCGAGGGCGACCCTCGCCAGATCCGACGAGCCGGCGTTAGACGGCCCTCGCCCGCCCATCCCAGGCGAGGGCCAACTCTGGGTTTCCCTCGCCGGCGTTGGGCGAGGGCCGCCCTCGCCTGGGCTGGGCGTGCGAGGTAGGGCCGCCCGACGCCGGTTCGCCGGATCTGGCGAGGGCGGCCCTCGCCGCTATAAAATCCGCATCGTCTGCATCGGGGGGGCACTCGCGCTCGACACAGCTCGGAGACAAATCGAGGAAAGCAGAGGGGAAGCATCGCCGGAAAAAATCCCGGAGAAAAATATCTACCGCTCAGCGCGTGTGTGGAAGGACTTGATCGGAGCTGATCGGATGCGTTGAGGAAATCGGCATTCCTCCGCGTCCCCATCCCGATCGCTCGCCGTCGATCTCCACCCCTTCTCTTCGCGGCCAGGTGAGCTCGATTCTCGGTTCCTTCGCCGTGGGTTTTGGCGATTCGGTTTCCCCGATCGCGGTTCCCCGATGGCGATTTCGCGGTGGTCGCGCGATCGGCATTGGAGGACGTCGCGAGCTTCTTTTTTCGCTCAAGCTGAGAAGCGTGGTTGATCGAATGCGGACGCGAATAGCGCGGCGGCGGCGGCGGCAGAGGCGGATTTGTTTGATTTGTTCCGTAGCCTATACGAAGCCCGCTTCACATCTGAGACTGTGATGTCGGTAGTGTGGTAGGCTTCCTGAGATAGCGCGTCGCCTCTTGGTGTGACTGTGGTACTGTTTTCGTTTGACCTGTGTTGATCGTAATGGGGTAGGCGTATTATAATGGAAGTTGGTACTCTGTTAAAAGAAGTATTCGGGGATCGGTGCTCGTTTATTAATGTGTCCACGGTGACTTTAGTGCAAACTACAGTTGCTTGATGCGATCCTGAAAAGGTTAGTGATGGAAGCTACCAGCTTCGATGGTTTTTGATTCTGTCGTATATGAGAAGGGAGAAGCAGGATAACTAGTGACTGAGCAGAGCTGAAATTAGCAGAGCTGTTTTGATATCCATACTCATGAGTCTGAAATTTCAATTTTTCACTCCAGTTCTTTCCGTACATGGATTCCCCATTAGGGGTGTCAATAAAACCTGGGCCGGCCCGGCCCGATCCGCGCCGACCCGGTCCGGCCTTAAAATTTGGGGTATTTTGGGGTCGGGCCTTAATTTTCTTTGAATATGGCCCTAAAATTTGGGATTTCATTAGGGTTGGGTAGGGTCAGGCCGACTTATTAACACTCTGGGCCGGCCCATCTCCCTCTCTCAGACTCTCAGTTGCCAATCGCCATCGCCGTCGGACGCTCTCTCGCCTCGCCTCGCCTCGTCTGCTCTCGTCTCTACCCCCGTCGATCATCTCTCTGCATCCTTCGCTCGTCGCCGTCGCCATCGCTCGAGGTCGGTCTCTCTCTCTCTCTCTCTCTAGCTTTGCAACGCCTCTGTTAGGGTTCGCCTCTGTTGTTGTCCTTTTCGCTCCGCTTGCCCTAGCGTCCTCGATCTGCTCCCTTTTGCTCCGTGATTGCTTGCGCTCGCGAGATCCCGCCCTTCCGTTCGCGCTCTGGCGAAGGGAACGAATTGCTTGTACAAAGTAGCTGCGGAGCGTGATATCAATCGCGTTCTGCGGATTTCGTGTGTGTTGGGTGTCTCTGATTGGGTGTCTGAATTTTGGGTTCAGGTGATAGTGCCGGACAAGTGGAAGGACGGAGCCAGCAACACCACCGAGGGCGGCGGCCGCAAGATCAACGAGAACAAGCTCCTCTCCAAGAAGTCCAGGTTACACCCTCTCTCTCTCTCTTTGTCCCTTTCCCTTTCTCTGGAAGACGAATTTCCATGGAGTCGCTGTATTGCGCTGTCGCGAACTAGCTGTGGTTGTTAACGGGTGTGACTTTTGTGGGTCGATTTCGTTTGATAGAATTGTGCGGTGGGGATTTCTGTCATGTCTGGAGGAGTTGGAGCGGTTGCAGTTTGCTCAGCTTTATGCAATTTCTGTTGTGGAAGTGGTATGAGTGGTGCAATATGATTAGTAATTAAGTGAGAACTTTTGTTGTTATTGCCCCCGGTATGCCGGTTGCAATATCTTCATCTGTGTTAGGTCGTTGAAAGAACGAAAGCGAGAAAGTTCCTTGGAATCATCTTAAAAACTGGAGGTGGGAAGAGATGAGTAAAATGTATTCATCTTTAATTAGTTTGTGATTCTAGATTGCAGGGACTTTCCCTTCAAAATAGTAGCCTTTTCTGTACCCTTTATCTGAAGGATATGACGATTCTGAAAATATGGTTCTTTCTTTGTGTCCACTAGCCATCAATATAACGTGAGGTGATGCTGTCGCCATTGTTACTATATACATCATGCATGCCACTGGGTTCAAGAAGTTTACTGTTTGGGGAAGTTATGGAGCAATGTTTGGTCTTGATTTTACCTTATCTCTTGCGGATTGCAGAATCATCAGCTTGAAGAGAATGTCTTCCATATAATGAAATTATTAGATTTACTTCTTTCTCTTACTTTCTTTTACAGCTTTATGGTGCTCGTTTGATTGATTTTTGTCTTAGTGAGAAACCTGAAGTTCTCTTTTCTCCTTTGCCTAGCACAAAAGGCCAAGTCCACAAAGTTGTAGAGATCGCGGGTTTAGAAATCTACTGCAACTCCCCCAATGGTGCTTCGAGTTTGATGATCAGGGACAATGCTGGAGACAATCAATGCCTAGGCAATGCTAATTGTGAAAGCAATCAGTTTCACCCTATTCTAGCACCACTGAATGTGTCAGTGTCACTTTCGGTATGAGTTGTTATTATCTTGCCTATCCTTCTTTCTCTAGACACAGGAGTATTTTCATGTCGAGCCCGTCATTTATGCACAAATTTGGTCTTTCTTGATGCTAATAAATGTGGCATTGAATGACCTAAAGGACCCGCCAGCTGTTAATGCACACAGTTTTTCTTTCATCATTGGCCTGACTTTTTAACCATTCTTGAAATAATTGATTTTCTAAACCATGTGCAGCATAAATGTTTTTCAAAGTAAAAAGAATCTTGTTCATGTGTGCATCTTGGATAAGGATATAAGTGCGAATTCAATATTAGCTCCCACTTAGATGTATTCTGAGTTCCTGTATATAGTTCCTGTATATGTCTTCATTTAGGGGGCCTTCTTATGTTTGCTTGCAAAATTAAACTTAGTCAATTATGCATGTGCTGCTTCTGGTTTGATCTGTCTTAAATATGCACTTCATGTTCTACTTTCATGGTTCTAGCATGTCGTCCTTACTATCCATTGTATCAGTGTGCCTCTTATGTTCAGATGCATGAATTTGTCTAAAATTTTATTATGTGTTGATTATTTTGTTCTTTTTGGCTGTTTTAATGATCTTAAGCTTGTCTAAAATTTTATTATCTTCAGACGATTAATGTTGTCACACGCTTGAGTAGCCCCCTCTTCCCGTCTCTTCCATTGTCTAGCTTGTTGAAAGCATTATCCTTGCCTAACTTGGTGCTTTTCTCCTACCCAGATGGAGAAAGGACACTTGATGGAGCAGCATTGAAGATAGAAATGTCAGTTTTCAGAGCGAAAAGAGTTATGTTTATGTTCTAATGGTGTTTTTCTTGAAGACGGGAGTGGTGGATGGTGATTATTGAGAGGCAAAACGCTTCCTTGAGCTGGATATTTCACATGAGCTTCTGTCTTTTGATAACATCAAAGAACAACTTGCATTATTCAATCGGGAGCTGGAAGTGTATCAATTGTTTAGCATGTGTACTGATATTAAGATAGACTTGTAATAATACGACCCAAGCATCGTGAACCATGTCTCTCCGTGATGGTGATTACTCTATGTAGAAATTTTTCTTTATGAGAGTTGTCTTCTGCCTTTTGATGTTACTATATGCGCGAAAGCGAAAAAAAAAAAAACCCGAAACCCGGCCCGACCCGACCCGGGCCTTGGGGTGTACGGTGAACAGGGTCTTGGGTGGGTCTGGGCGGGTCAAGCATGATCCTGTAGGTTTCGGGTCGGGTCGGGTATCAAGAAAGCCCGACCCGACCCATTGACACCCCTATTTCCCATCGGTTGTGGACATGATAGAGGCCTCATCAGGTGCCCACTTTTCCGGATTTCACATCGATGTGTTGCAGGCCAGACATGCAGTGGAGCATCCGTCGACCTCTATGGCTGAGTCTGAAAACATGCACATGCAGCCATTTGTGATTGGTGCGCACGTCTACTTGGGTCTGAGCCTTGCATATTATTTTAATGCATCCTTATGGAGTAGTTATGAAAAGTGTTTTAATGGAATGATATCAGTTAAATGCAATGGCATGTTTAATATTTCCCCTTACTCAAATAATAAAGGGTCATTCCTGACACGAAAGCTGAGAGAATATTTTCCGTTGAAATTTTCAAGTAACACTTGCTGTATTACATCCTCTTCTGGTCCATGACCTTGATATCATGGTTTCTGCACTTCTTGCTATCTATGAGTGTCGACATGTTGTGAAGTTAAAAGTCAAAGTAGGCATTTATGTAATCAACTCCCACATTGCAAAGGTCTCAGTTTTAGAATGTCCACATTGCAAATTACTGTTTCTATTTCTAAAACAATCACGCTAGTGGATCACTGTTGTTCCTGCATCTTCTGCTAGACTTTTTGGCATTGAGGGCAAGAGCTCAGTAGCTCTTAAATATTCAACTTGCAGGAGTTGCTGGAGGGGCTGCAGCTGGAAAAACTACAGTTTGTGACATGATCATTCAGCAGCTTCATGATCAACGTGTTGTTCTTGTTAATCAGGTATTTCTTTTTAGTTCGTTTTGTGGTTAAGTATGAGGACTGTGACACTTGTATTGCCTTCTGACATCGAACATGGGATTGTTTTGTAGAAATAACTAGTGTGAAGATAGGGAATTCTCTTCATTCTGCATGAATATGAAGCTATGTAATATTATTTCTTCTCTGTTTGAGATGCTATTCCAACTTGCTGACTCTGCTTTCTTCCACTTTCCTTTTTTCTCTTTTCAACTGAATCATTACTTTCTATTTGACCTTGTTTGTTTTTTAACGAAAACTCATCATATTAAATTGTCTCCATTTCTAAAACTCTAATTAGTAATTTCATTTCTTTGGAACTTGATAATACAATTAAAGAGGAAGCAAGGCATCTTCTTTATTGATAGAAGATTTTCATTTAGTAGTACTTGTAGTCAATAGAAGATGAGTGATGAGGTCCTCACTTGTCTTTTACACTAAAGGGAGACCCGTTTGAATTGTAAGGTATATTTATACAATACCGGGGCTGGCACTATCTTGACGCTTTCTCTGGAAACTTGTGTTTCAAATTGTCGAAAGATATAGTACTGAAGATCGTCATATCAAAAACACAAAACATATGCCAATGAAGTTACGTTTTATTTGGACCTATTAAATGGGTTACCAGAATCCTTGAGTTCTCCATCTAGTTGCCACTAATTTTTTTTTCCTTGTGATCTGGTTTCTAACATTTCTTTTAAGACTTTTTAGTTGTCATTATCTTATACCCCTCGGTTTTGCAATACCAGACTTGTGAGCTTGATTTGGTGTAGGTTACATTACTGTCATAATTTCTCTTACTATTTGCTGCTGAAAGAATATACCTGATCACCTTCGCGTTGCGTGACTTTATAGATATAAATTAATTGGCCAATAAGTTTTTCTGAGTAAACATATCAATATATGACGTGGCAGGATTATTTCTATCATAACCTAAGTGAAGAGGAACTTACGCGAGTCTATGAGTACAACTTTGACCATCCAGGTGAAAATGCTTTTAATGTGTTATATACATCACATATGCGGGATCCATCATATCATCTATATCCCAGCACTTTATTAACAATTATCTTGCTATCCAGATCCTTATTTGCTTATAACAACTGCGATTGTAAACTTTATTTATTCATTTTGCTATTGTGATCCTTATTTGTGAATAACTAGTGGGGTTTTAAACTTAATGATGGGAGAGAGGCGCTAGTCTTGAAACTGTGGTACAGCCATGATAGTTGTTGATAGCAGGATGATGTTAATATTTCTATTTAAAGCTATATACCGTCTATTTTCAGATGCTTTTGACACTGAACAATTGCTATCTTCTATGGACAAGTTGAGGCATGGGCAAGCAGTAGATATCCCAAATTATGACTTCAAGAGCTACAAGAACAACGTGTTTCCAGCAAGAAGGGTACGGTTTTCTCATTCATGGAGTTTGAAAGACATGCTGTTAGCATATTACTTTCTTAGATGGGTGATTAATTTTGACCTCGAAACACACAAGGCATACGATACAACTCCTTTTGGGCCGATGCATTCAAATTTTGACTACCTTGGTTATTTTTTTACCTCTATTTACATGCATTCTAACATCACAAAAGCACGTCTAGCGTCAGTCTCCCATATCAAAGTGCATGGTCTTCCATGTTGAAAATGCTATCTCATGAAGTAACTGGTATGTTTCACAGAAAGATATTCAGAGCTGGGCATTGGAAATGTTTATGTGAGTTTCCATTTGTCCTTCATAAATTTGCTTTTTGATGGAAACAAGTCCAAGTACAACCAAATGATGAAGCTGAAGTGTCTTGGCATGTTCCGATTTTCTTGGTGAATTCATGTGCCTGCTATGTCTTGAGATTTCTTTTGGCATGTTAACTTTCTCTCTTATGGGAAACTTTGCAATTAGGTCAAGTGCCCTCTAGCATGTTCCTTTGTCTGTCTTTTCTATTTAAAATAAAGGACATGTACTTTTACTCTCTACAAACTTATCTTTCCCAGTTTAAGAAGAATTGTAATTTCAATCATACGATCCTTTCAAATTAAGATAGTTTGTTTCCATCATTGTTTTCACCCTACATGCAGGTCAATCCTTCTGACGTTATAATTTTGGAAGGTATACTAGTTTTCAATGATCCTCGTGTTTGGGAGTTGATGAATATGAAGATATTTGTTGATACAGGTTTGTTTCTTCCTCTTTATAACCAGAAGCTCACGTTTCACTAAATTTGAATCGTACAATATTTCCATTAAAGTGATCTCGTTGTTATGTCCTAAGGGCTAGGGGTGAGCATGGTCCGTGCGGGCGGTTCCCGACATGGAACCGAGAACCACCCACTAAGGACCAGTTCCGAGAAATTGGAACCGGGATCCGCCCGTTGGTTCCATGGACCCATCCGGGAACCGGCTTTCTCACTCTCGATCACCTCCATTTGCGTGAAGCTTGGTGGGGCCGGTTCCATGGACCCACTCGGTTCCCAGGTGGGTCCATGGAACCGGCCCCACCAAGCTTCACGCAAATGGAGGTGATCGAGAGTGAGAGAGGGAGGCGATAAACAGCTTGAGGCGCGGTCGTGAGTTAATGGGAGTTGAGTGTCGAGCTTCAAATTAGCGATTTTATGATTTTCACTTTTCTAAAAATGTTTTCTTTTTTCTTTTGGATGAAATTTTTCTTAAAAATTATATATATATATGTATATATATTACCGGTCCGGTCTGGGTGGGCGGTTCTACGCCTAATACCGAGAACTGGACTGGTACTCACCGTTCTAGTAAATTAGAACCGGGAATCGGACCGGTCTTCATGGGAACCACCGGTTCCGGGCTGGTCTAGTCCGGTTTCGGGCGGTTTTCGGTTTCTTTGCACACCCCTACTAAGGGCTCCTTTAATAAAATAGATAATAAGTAGAAAAGTGTCAACTTTTAAAGTATCCCTCATCGTGGGTGGTCATTCTTACATAATATCATAGCCAAGTTTTGCCCCGAGTTTGTTTTGCATGTGGCTCCCCATTTGCCAATTCCGCGTGTCTTTCTAATTCGGTTTGCACGTGAGAAGGGGTGTTAAAATACTACAATTTTCTTGTCCATGGAGTTTCAATGTACCTTATGTAACATCCTGAATTTTGACCCGTTATCGGGACCAATAAAGCGTATATTAATTCTCGTGTGATTTTAGTGAGTCTCGCCCGGACTTGATCAATCGCGGGATACTAACCAAATGGGAAAGGCTAAATAGGAACAGGTACGTGGACCGAGAAACCGATCGCGATTGGACACTGATTTCGAGAAACGTCGAGGGAATATCTTGAGCCAATATGGGCCGATCTTAGGAAGATAACGGATTTGATATAGTTAGTAACGTACGATTGGATTGCGGGTGATTCCGCACGACCGAAAGTACGCCTAACAAACAAATCCCAAATTTTATCCGAACGATCGCGACCCCCGGTACTAGTGATAATCTCTTACCTTCTCTCGAGATTTGAGACTATCGAGACTCGGACAGTTTTAGGTCGATACGCGTAACACCTAAATAGCCACCCGTTAGTGAGAGATCCTAAGATTTCAAAACGAGCTATTTTGATCGCGATATTGAGCCGAACTTCGATATCAAAATTTCAAGGGTAATTACGACTATTTGGTAGGACGGACGTCATTTTATAGTGGCCAAGTAAGTTTGGGACAAGAACGGCTGAAAATAGGAATTTCGACAAAAATTGGGGAAAATTACGGTTTTGCCCCCGTGGGCACCGGGGCTGGATTCGGAGGCCGTTTGAGGTTATTTTTCACGGCCAAGGTCATTTTGGAGTGGCCACGTACATTTAGAGTGGTTTTGGACAAAAACGGGAATTTCGGCAAAAATTAGAAAAATAATATTATTTTATTTCCGGGACTTCGCAGGCGATTTTCGAAGGCTTAGAAAGTGGATTTCGCGAATCCGACACCGTATTATGTCTCCCATGAACATATAGGACCGGTATGGACAAAAATTGAAATTTCGGTCCGGGATCGGAAAATTACGAAAATGCCCCTAAGCCATTTTAATTTATTCCGAATTTTGGGTAAATTTTGGGGACTAACTAAGGTTAAGTAGACCAAACCAGACCTGGTCAACCTTGGTTAGGGGCATTTGACCATCTCACCCTTGCATTATTGGAGGAGAATGAGCTTAGACCATTGGATTAAAGGGCAAATTGTCCAAACCCTTGGATTGTTGACACATGGACTCCACTCACCCAAGTTTGACCACATTTGACCTGCTTCTTCTCTCTCCTCAGTCTCTCTCAGCTCACGTTCTCTCTCCCGAGCAGCCCTCACGATCGTCCTCTTCACGTCGTTCCTCTGCCCTTATGCTCCGCCGGCCACTGTTCACGCCGGAACAGCCGAGCCGCCGGAGCTGCTGACCTCAGGCCGCCGCACAGCACCCCCTGGCACCGCCCAAGCCTCCGTCGACCAGCCCCACCCTCTGAATCGTCCGCCCCACAGCAGCTGTTCCAGGCGAGAGAGAGAGAAACACCGCCGGTCTTCACCTCGCCGGCACCGCGCCGCCGTCCACCGCCGTGCGCCGCCCTCGTCGACCACCTCGCCCTCACCGTCTCTCTCCACCATCCTCAGCCCGTACGCCCAGCAGCTCCCCTGTTTCGGTTGTGTGTGTGGCCGTGAGCCACGCCGGCGCCGCCGTGACCGCCGGCTTGCCCCCGGAGCGCCGCCGTCGATTCTCACCGCATGTCGGTAATCGACTGCCCGCTCCCGTCGCCTCGAATCGATTTTAGGCGAGTATAAACCCCTAAACCCTTAATTAGTTTATTTGTGCATTTTAGAGGGTAATTAGGGGGTTGATTAGGCTTAATCATGGTCTACTCATGTCTAATGTTGTGTGGGGTGATTAGGGGACCTAATTAGTGCCTAATGAAGTGAGTTAGAGGTTGATTATGGCCTAATTGATGTTCTGTCCTGGTACTGTTCATACAGTACCGAAATTGTGTAATTTGCCTAAGTGTTTCACTAATTGGGTTCAATTGCTAAGGACTTTGAATTGGACATTTTGGGGACTAATTAGGCTTAATTGAGGCTTAATTAAGTATATTTGATTGTTGGGTGATTAGGATTTGAGACTAGAGCCTAATGAGGGTGTTTAATTGTGGTTTAGTGGACAAAATGTGTCCTCCCCTGGTACTGTTCATTCAGTACCGAATTTGTGCAAATTGTCCAAGTTGAGTATTTATTGGATGATTATTTGATGACAAGAACTTAGACATTTTAGGGGTTGATTAGGACTTGTATAATCCTATTGAACGACCCGAATTGGTGAGAATGGTTATCGAGACCAAAGTGCCCAAGGCGGGCCTTAGGCGCATTGAATTACCTTGGAAAGGATTGCGCGGATAAAATGTGGAGTTCTTGAACTAGAATGAAATTGTTTGGGAATGCCGGGAATGAGTGGCATAAGTCTAATTTGATCATAATTATGCTTGATAAATTTGATATCAGGATTTGGCTTGAATTCCCGAACATATGTTTTGTATATCAAGTTGTGATTGGTTGAAATTGAGTGAAACGATGTACATGCTTGAGTTATATTCAATTGTGGCCTTCGGGTCGGGAGAAATTGTGGCCTTCGGGTCGTGGCCTTCGGGTCGGTTTAACTGTTGTTGGCCTTAGGGTCATGGCCTTTGGGTCGATTTGATTGAATATGTTTTATAAGGATATTAAAAGTCTAACCTGCAGGGCAGAGTAGTGAATTGGGCTGTGGGCCCGAGTGAACTTATATTGATTGTTATACTGGTTCATCTATTTATGTGTTTTATTTACCCTCTGGAGGTGCACATTAGCCTAGTTTAGGATTAGTGGTTTTTACTTGCTGAGTTGTTCTCACGGTTGTGGTAAAACCGACTTTTCAGATCTCCAGCCATGAACTTCGACGATGCACCGTTACGCTTTGGGATTCCCCACCATATAGAGCGTACGCTGACCGTGTACCCCGTGGGGAACGGGGAGAAGTACTATAGACACTATGCTTTAGTATGGGTAGACGTAGGCTTAGCTCACCTTGAGACTCACGAGTACCTAGCCTGGTGTTTCCGGGATCGTTTTGGAGAAGAATTCGGTCCCATCAGGTCCGCCGACGTCCCGTTTGTGGGAGAGGGTCAGCTAGATATTCAGTGTCCAGACGGTGATGTAGTAGATGTTGATATGGAGGGCAATCCTGATTCTGAGGTTGAGTATGAGATTGTGGAAGAAGAGGAAGAGCACGAGGAGCTTGGTGGATTAGCCTTTGAGCCGGAGGTAGTCGATCCAGCTCCAGAGCAGGTGGACGCAGAAGCCCCTGAGCCTATGGACATAGACGAGTACGAGGAGCAAGACCCTGAGCCAGAGACAGAGTTGGAGGCCATGAGTTCTGAGGAGGATCAAGAGCGATTCGAGAGTTCTTCGGAGTCGTCGGGTTCTGATCCTGACTGGGTACCGTAGGTTAGATATCAGTATAGGATTGAGGGCCGACACTTTTTGACCGTACCCCTCCGGTAGTTAGTTTGACACCCATAGGTCACCGATCCCTTTTTGTTCGTGGCCTTTTGATGTACCTTTTTGTTTATAGATGGATAATGTATATGGGGGTTTAATCGATCATAATTTGTTATCTCCTGCCTCTCATGGTTGCTTTTAAATTGTCTGGGTGTATATATATATTTATTATATATACGTCGTTTCCGCATGAGGCGTGTTTTCTCTGATTTGGGTTCGGGTCGGTGACGTAACCTGGGAGCGTCGCACTTCTATTTCGACCTATAAGCGGGATGCTCATGCTTCGTGGGGTACGGGGCGTGACACCTTACATTCATCTAGTCCTTACAACCAATAGCTTAAGTTTTTCGGTCGAATATCAATATACTAACATTGACATTCTTAAATGTTAAAAGTATAAAGAAAAAGTTATTCGATAATAGTGGAAGAATTAATATGCAATTCATTCATCTCTCGCCAAATCTTGTGGATAATATTAGTAAGTTTTATCACCTGTAATTGTAATATCCTAGGTTCAATTAGATCCCTCTCATTGATGGAATTAATTAACCCTTCTTTACTTAACTTATTAGTGAATTTTTGACTTAATTTGATGTTTTAAGTCAAAACTAGTTAATATTATTAGACAAGCCTAGTCCTATTTACTTCTGAGTGTTTTGA